TTCCCTTCCACACTGTTACCAAGAAAGCCACCCAGGAGAGGATCAAATGGAGATAGAAAGAGGAAAAAAAAGGGGTATTTCCTTCACGGAAGGCCTTATCTCTGTCCTCAAGATCGTGTACATTTTGGGCCCGAAAGTTCATTCAAGCCATTTTTATGGTTTCTGTGGGGCATCTATTGAGATGCATCTGTGCAGCAGCCAGGAATTGAACCCAAATCAGAGAGCCTCCCCCCCCCTCCCCATGTTGATCATCAGGTCTAGAAACCTGGCTTGGTTTTCAGCAAGGGGCGGACTATCTCATATGTCAACTCATAAAATATTTCTCTGGTCTTTTTAGAGTTGCCAACAGAAAGAGACAGGGGAGCAGTGAAGCAGCTTGCAAAACTGAAAGTGCATTCCATAAATGTTTTCAAAGATAGTAACTAGGTGACCGAAGTTTCTGCCAGGGTTAAAAGCTAACTGGAGAGCCTGATTGATGACTCTTGGCTATGGATGTGTCCCATTGGAGAATAGATTTAAGACACACCCAGGGGATGGGGGGGAAACCAGGGTCAAGGGTGACAACGAATGATGTGTCTCAGAGTTGGCTACACCCAGGCAGTGCCAGACATGTAAATCCTTTGGAAGTTTTGGAAGTTTGTCTCGAGACTCATGATTTAAATGGAGTTGAATGCCGGAATCCTGACATCGTGATGGTATAAGGGGATACACAACCCTGATGTTCTCCTTTCATGCAGAGTGCGGCTCGGGCGATGGGTCTGGCTCCGGAGATGCCATCGAGTGCGAGAGAGACAGCTGCCGGAAGTACGGGGGTTCGTGGGACGAGGATATGGAGGATGACCGTTGTGTGTGTGACTATACCTGTGGGACTGTACCACAGAACTGGGTAAGAGGAGATTTCCCCAGGAACATCTGCATAATCAAAGGGTTGGTCTAGATCAGAGGTGTCCAACTTGGCCACTTTTAAGACCTTTTAAGAATTCTGGGAGTTGAAGCCCACAAGTTGTTGTTGTTTTTTTAAGTTGCCCAAGTTGAATGCCGGTTCTGATGCTTTCCAGAACACCTGAATATTCTGTGGCAGGCTTTTTGCAAAGCGTCATTTTGATAGGCTGAGTTAAATCCTCCGTTGTGTCTTTAATGCTTCTCTGCCCTCTGGGTTGTGGCTTTTTTTTTTTTTTTTGCTGTTTCTCATTAATTTCCCTGGCATGCATTTGCATATTTTATGGACGGGAAAGTGGAAAGCGCAGGAACTCCGTGCATGTATGACATCCTGGATGCCAGCAGATGTGTTCTCTGAACCAGGGAGTTGGGAACGAACGCTTCCTTTGATTTTGATTTTTTTATTTTTCTCCCTCTGTGATGCCAACAGATCACAGGCAGAATTCTCTAAGATTCTTGTCCAACCTGCTTGTTTAACTTGCCGGGCTGAACCTAAACCTGAACCTCAAATCTGCAAGAATAATTTTTTTCCCCTCCCCGAAAGAGCCCTGGATGGCTGCCAGCCTTTTGAGTACCTAAAATGGTGCCGTTCGGATACTCCCTTGGGGTAGATCTGCACAAACGATACACCCACGGCTGGGAATCAGCCGGGGTTTACACCCAGGCTCTTACCCATGAGTAGGCCTGCTCCCAAAGGAGGCACTGACCATCCAAGATTGTCTCCCAGATCCGGGCTTGCTTTGCTAGATGCCCGCCTACCGTAGACTATTTTGGGTGAGAACAGGGGAACTGAAACTATTCATCGAGCGGAATGGCACAACTCGCCGCAGGACAATTTTAACAACTCCCATTTCATGATATTAATCTTTGCCATTCGCGTTTCATGCCTCCTCTCCTTTGGCATCCTTCCTTTAATGATTCCACTCCGCTGTGTCTTCGATATTAGTGCAACTCTTGCCCCACGGCGAGTTCTCTCACCGTGGGAGAATTGTTCCGTGGTGAATTGTCGTAGACCTTTCCCCAAAGACATCAGCTGGTCATCCCAGGGCCAGAGAGGGAAATGCAACGCCTCACCGTCTAGCCCGCCGATGCAGGCAGTGTTACCCAAAACAGTTCTTTCGAATGAGACAGGACAATAGGAAGATAACGGGAGGGGCAGTGGCCTAGAGGTGGCACTCTCTCCTCACAATCCAGAGGCTGTGAGTTCGATCCTAGGCAGAGGCTGATATTTCTCTCTCTGGGCGCAATGAGAATATATCTACTGAATAAAACCTCCGCATTGGCGACAGGAAAGGCAACTGGCCAGTAAACATTCCGCTCCATTCAGTTGCCCCGACTCTCCCTACAAGGGATTACGGGGTCATTAAACGACAAACAACACAGGGAGATAATGGGAGAGGAAGAAGAAAGGGAAAGTTAACTGGGGAAACTTCAGGCACAAACCTTTAGTTCTGGCTTTAATTTCCTTCTAACAAAGCGATTCCTTTCACAACAAATGGAGCCCAGGGTGGTTTCAACTCGGGAGGATGGGGGGGGGTCCAAGATGAGGCGGGCCTGACATTCCGATTCTTTCTATAACAAGACCCTTTCCTTCCCCCCCGCCCGATGTAGGTGTGTGGATCGGACGGGGTGGCCTACGCTAATGAGTGCGAGCTGAAAAAATCCCGCTGCGAGAAACGCCAGGACATTTACGTGGCAAGCCAGGGACCCTGCCGAGGTAATTTCAGGCTGGTGGGAAGTAAAAGATTTTGGAGAGGTCTTCCGGACATCGAACAGCCAGAAACTGCCAGCCCGGCGGGGTTTTCTTCTTGGCTCGAAGGAAGTAAATCGACTCTGTTCTTTGGAAGGGCAGGTGCTGAAGCTCAAACACTTAGGCCACCTAAGGAGAAGCGAAGGCTCCTTGGAGATGTTGGGACAGGTGGAAGGCAGAAGGAGAAGGGAATGGCAGAGGATGGGGACGGTTCGACGGTGTCGTTGGTCCAGCGGGTATGAGATTGGGCAGGCTCAGGCAGAGGTGGTATTCAGCCAGGTCTGGAGAACCGGTAGCGGAAATTTTGAGTAGTTTGGAGAACCGGCCAATCCCACCTCTGACTGGCCCCGCCAACCCCATCTCTTCTCTGCCTCCCATTGAGTCCCAGCTGATCGGCTGGGTCTCCTTTGGTTGCCCTGCACAGGAGAACAGAGCTGGGAAGCAGGTTAGTGGAGTGGGGAGGGAATTGGGATTTTGCAGTATCCTTCCCCTGCCGTGCCCACCAAGCCAAGCCACGCTCACAGGACCGGTTGTAAAAAAATGTTTCATCCCACCACTGGTCTCAGGGAGGTGGTAGAAGACAGGGAGTGGGGGCTGGCGTGATCCATGGGGTCGCGAAACAACTGTATAGCTACTTGCTGGTGGCCTCGTCATTAAAAAAGAGTTTTTTTAAATTTTCCTTCCAGGGGTCCCAACGCTTCCGTCCTCTTCGCCAGAACTCCTTCACTGTAGCAAAACCGTTTACGGCTGCTGTCCGGACAACATGACTTTAGCACTTGGAGTGGGGTCGGCTGGATGCCCCAGTAAGTCGATGCCACTCTTTGGGGGCCTGGGGCGAGGCTTTTCAAGGGGTCCCCCCTCCCCGGCACGCTTCGGTGGGGGGTGTCCCGGGAGAGAGAGAGAGAGAGAGCACGCTCCCCTTACCCCAATCTATTTCGTCTTTTCCCTCGCCTCCCTCCGCAGCCCACCCATTGCAGGCTTTTATTAATTTTTTATGGAATAATTAGCCAGAGCCATCTTGTCTGCCTAACGAGATGAGGAAAGAGTCGGTGGCATTTTAAGCAGCTGAGGCCACGAGGGCCAGCTGGTTAGCGGGGCGTCCATTAGAGCGGCTGCCGGGAACGCCACGGCCCTGTTTGCGGTTCGGTAGAGGTGTTTCGTTCACCGGGTCATTTGTTCAGCGGGGGTGGCCGTGTTCCAAAAGCGATTTTAATGGCTCTGGAGATCTTGACCTAGAGAGCTGTAGAAGCCACAGAAATTGGCAGATTTCCCCCCCTCCTGGAGGGGGTCGCCTCGATAATTGATGCGGTGAAGTCGCGCAGCTGGAAATTAAAATATCATGTCTGCCTAGGAGCACTCGGGGGGCGGGGGGGAGGGGAAGAGCTTGGAGGAGGAAGCATCTAGCTCAGCCTGAAGTCCCCACCCTCCTTCCCAACCAGGCTTGGGGCAATACTTTCATTCATTTGTTTGTTTGTTTGTCAAACATGTACAAGATAACAAGGGGCCGGAATAATAAGCAGGCATAACAGGAACAAAGGAAATAAGTACAAATACATGGGGACAGTAAGACGGGGACGGTAGGCACACTGATGCGCTTATGCACGCTCCCTTAAGGCCCACTTAGGAATGGGGTGAGGTCCACGATAGACACTTTAAGGTTGAACTTTGCGGGGTGGGTGGGTTTGAGGCTGTGACAACAGAGTCCGGCAGTGAGTTCCAGGCATCGACCTCTCTGTTGCGGGAGTCAGATTTTCTGCAGTCAAGTTTGAATCTCGAGTTTGCATCGATTGTTTGCCCGTGTATTATTGTGGTTCAAGCTGAAGGAGTCGTTGACAGGCAAGACGTCGCAGCAGACCATTTTGTGTACTTCTGCTTAAATCGGGAGCCTAGGCGGCGCAGTTCCAGATTGACCAAGCCCAAAATTTCAACGTTTCCATTCGTGGCAGCTGAATCTCAGAGCTGACACTTGAGAGCTAACCCTTCCCTGCCTCCTGTCTCTTAGGCACTTGCCACTGTAACCCCTATGGCTCCTACGGAGGGAGCTGTGATCCCAGCATAGGCCAGTGCTCCTGCAAACCCGGCGTCGGGGGGCTGAAATGCGACCGCTGCGAACCCGGTTTCTGGAACTTCCGCGGCATCGTCACAGACAGAAAGAGCGGCTGTACCCGTGAGTATCTTCGTTGACCAGGGTTGGGCTTCAAAAGTTCTGCAAAGGGTTCTCTGCCCTGTTACTGTGTGGGCGTGGCCATGCACTCCTGCACCAAGGTGGGGTGTGTGTGTGTGTGTGCATTTTTGCCCTTCCTGGACTCCGGAGGCTTTCCTCGAGCCTCTGGGATGGCGAAAACGGCCTCCTCCAGGCTCTGGAGACTCTCTGAAAGCCAGAAACGGCCCCATTTCCAGACTTTCTGAACTTCCGGGAGGCCCATTGTTCATCCTCCCCGAGCCTCCGTGCGTGCCTTGCCCTTACCTGCGTCCAAAACGGGCCACGTGGGGACTCCTGGGAGGGAGGGGTGGGATGGGCGGGGCCCGCCAGGAGTGGGATTTGGGGGGGTTCTCCAAACTACACAGAATCTTAGCTAGGGGCTCTCCCGAATCCCTGTGAACCCCAGCAGCCTGGGCGGAAAAATATTGGGGTCTAGCACCTGTTTCCTCTCTCCCGTTCAGTGTAGGAGAAGAGCAGGCAGAGTGGGAGGTGGTGGAGTTAAGCGAGTATCCAGCCTAGAGTCTTTAAATTCTCACTAAGTCCAAATTCTCTTAAGTTCCATTGATTCTTATCGACTGCCATGTATGGCCTTGAGCAGTAAACCTTATCTACAACTTCACCATACGGTCCTGATTCTTCACGCCTGACATTTCAATCCCCAATTCTCCTGAGAGGCTGCAAACGTGGAAGGGGGCCTTCAAAGACACACATACAAGCCCTTTAAAAAAAAGCAGATCTGTTTTTGAAACCATCCACAAAGGTGACTCTAGCCGTCATCAAAGCTGCATAGATTGTCATTCTGGATTTTGGAGCTAAGTGGGCCAACTGTCAGAGGTCTTAGCAGGGCGATCTCCATGTTCCTAGCCAGGAAGAACCTTGCAGGATAAACAAGCCAGGAAATCTGGCTAGTTCAATGGAGATTTTGTTGCCCTGAGGAACCCCACCCCCAGTAGTCAGCGATGTCATATTATTCAAGCATGCAATGGGGAAAAGTCTCTTAACTGGGAGTTCCCGCCATCCATCGATGGATTCTCTCTGGCGTTTATCTATCTATGTATATAAAAGTGAACTACTGCTCAACGCATCATCACGAAATCTCCAGAACCGTAAAGCCTGCCCATGCGCAGAGCTGCCAAAAGGACGGTAGAATTAAAAGCTCCGGGTTGACGTGGGAGTAAGGCCACAGGTGGATGATGACTGGCCCCTCCTATCAGGATTAAAAGAGAAGGAAAAAGGGGAGGGGGGCTTTTGCAGGAAGCAACTCGCTCGTTCAGTCATTCGTTTGTTCCAGCCATGTGGAGATTTGTTCTGTATAACCCAGCCCTTCCTTGTCAACAGTGAGTGTGGAACTATTTACCGGGCAGCGTTCCAGGATTGATAAAGGTCTGAGCTCATTAGTTTACCTTCACGAGACTGTTTGCCAAGCTGTTGACTGACTGACTGAAATAAATTCACATTAAAAGAGGTTTTTGCCAGGACTCAAAATTGACTTAGTGCTTGTTGCGGAGGCTTAGGACAAAAAACCCTGTTCTAAAAGAAAGTTTTGAGGTGGTGGGAGGGAGTCCAGATCCCAGTTTAGGGGAAGCCCCGCGGAGTCTCAGCTGAGATGAGATTTGATTTCTGATTCCTTCCTTGGGCTAATAGCAGAACAAATGCAGCTTCATTTTCTCATTGTCTCAGTCCTGCCTGTGAGGCAGAGAGAACGGATGGAGGTGCGATGGTGGAAATTAGTTCTCACCCTCCATGCTACAGTCGAGAGCGGAAGGGCAGTTCACACCCAGCACCTGCCAGAGAAGTCATTACCAAATAGATGACAACCAGGAGCCCATTTTTGAAAGATGAGACCGGAGGGCGGGGGGGGGGGGGGGCTTGAATATCCGTGTGCGCGTTTTTAATTGAAAGCCGCGGCAAAGTAAAGTTTATAATAACGCGGAGCTGGCTCGCAAGGCAAAGAAATCTCAAAACTCTGGGACCAAATCAGCAGAAAAATCCGATCTGATTCCACCGCGGTTTAGTTCGTGGGAGATTTTGACTCCGGATCGTCATCATCGTCTACTTCAACAACCCCATAATCCTTGCAGGAGGAGTCTGGGCAACTGAATGGTGCTGTGGTTTTACTGGCCCGATGCCTTTCCTGTTGCCAGTGTGGAGTTTTGTTCAGCCAATAGATTCTCAGTGTGCCCAAAGAGAGAAATAACTGCCTCTACCTAGGATCGAACTCACAGCCTCCTGATTGTGAGGGGAGAGCTCTACCCCTAGGCCACCGCACCACTCCATTTTGACTCCAGATGTTGGCAGAAAATGCCCTGATGTCTTTCCAGGTGTTAGCTATCCCCACGTTTCTTTTTTTTCTTTCTTTTTTCGGTGTTTGAAAAGCTCTGGAGAAACCCAACAAGTATTTTCCAGATGTTAGCGGTCTAACGGTGGACTTCTCTGTGCTCTTTGCCAGGTGTTCACGGGAGTCCTCATGAGAAGGGAGTTCTTAAATTCCTTCCAGATGTGAGCAGAAGCTCCGGATTTAAGCCTGTTGGCAGTTTTCCTACTACAAGAAGCATCCTTACCTCATCCTTGTAGAACAGGCCTTAGCTTAAAGTTGCAGAGATGGTTTTTTTTCCCCCCTCCTTTGCCTTCGAGGTTCAAAAACATTTAATTTTGATTATGGCTTGCTACTGCTGGGCCTGGCATCACACCAAAGGCGGGGATTGGCAACCCTCAAATTGCCAGTCCTTGGAGAATTTGTGGTCCCAAAAACGTCAGAAAGGGGAGTAGTTGGAGGGGGGGGGGTCCAGTTTAAGAACTCCTTCCAGTAATACAGACTTTTAGGGTTTGAACCTCTGTTTAGCTTGCTTCGGAGTAAAACCTGTTGTAATTGGCTAATGTCCCAGTTAATGGTTATACCTTCCTCATGTCCATTTCTTTCACTGAGAGCATTTGCATCGAGGCAAATTCCTTGTGTGCCCAATCACACTTGGCCAAAAAAGAAATCTATTCTGTTCTGTTCTGTTCTATTCTATTCTATTCTATTCTATTCTATTCTATTCTATTCTATTCTATTCTATTCTATTATCTTTCTCCTATTCTATTCTACTGATAACATCGCAAGGATATAACTTTATTTTTGACAAGTCCCGTTAGTAGAATTTGATTTTTTTAAGATGCCCGACCAACATAATCTGTTTTAGGAAGCAAATGAGATCATCCATACCCTGGCACGAAGCATGAGAATGACAGGTAGTCCTTACAATTACTCATTTAGTGACCGTTCGAAGGTACAAAATCCAGGCACTTGGCAAGCGACTCATATTTATGACGGATAGATAGATAGATAGATAGATAGATAGATAGATAACAGATAGATAGATGCAGTGGTGGTTCATGGTTAGAATAGGGTATTGCAAGCTAACTCATTGCCAGCAGTTCGATTCTCACCAGGTTCCAGGTTGACTCAGCCTTCCATCCTTCCGGGGTCAGTAAAATGAGGACCTGGATTGTTGGGGGGCATGAGGCTGATTCTGTAAACCCTTTAGAGAGCGCTGCAAAGCACTGTGAAGCAGTATATAAGTCTTAAGTGCTATTGCTATTGCTCCATTATTGAAAGATTTCAAGAAAAGATTGGACTGGAATAAGGACTTCTACCTTAGGCAAGGGGTCAGAGTAGACGACCTCCAAGGTCCCTTCCAGCCTTACCGTTCTACGATTCTTGGGGGAAATAGGAACACCAAATTACAGTTCAGCAAGCAGGGGAGTTGATCAGATTTATGTCCGTTGCTCCAGATTTGTATTGACAAGCTATTCGTTGAGCAAACAAGAAAGTGAAGGGAGGGGAAGAGGGAGGAAGGGAGGAGGACCCTGTCTTAATTTCAAGGTCCATTGGCGATCAAAGCTGAGAAATCAATAAAGTGGCAAATGGGGGGAAAAAAGGAGGGAAGGATGGAGGAAAAAAGAGAGTTATTTGGAAGCGACAACAAACAGCCAAGAATACGAGAATCTGTGCTCGCCTATATGTGTGTGTGTGTGTGTGTGTGTGTGTGTGCGCGCGCGCGCATGTGTAGGAGCAGGAGCTACCAACCTTTTGGACCTCAGGGACCACCAAACTCATACATTTTAAATCCAGCGGACCAGAGACCCTGAAAAAATCCCCCCAAAAGTCTGCAGGAAAATTCCCCACCCATTTTTCCTACTGATCAATCGTTCTTTATTTGGGATCGCAGGATACCGTCTCCAGCTCCATTCTCAGGGAAAGAGAGAGAGAGACTTTTGACTTCATGCAAGGAAAGCAGCAGAAGCAGCAGAAGTCTTTCTTTCTCTCCCCCCAAACTCCGCCAGAAACGAGTCTTTGTGAGACTTGTCATGCTGGCGCAGCCTCTTGGAGCAAGGATGCCTTGCAGGGTCCCAAGACTCATTTCTGGCGGAGTTTGGGGAGAGAAAGAAAGACTTCTGCGGCTTTCCTTGCGTGCAGAAGCAGAAAGAAGCAGCCCGGTGGCCAGGCCAGGCACATGGGGTGAGTGGGGCAAGTTCCCCACTCCGCCCTTTCCCCCCTCCCCTCACTACCTTGTGTTGTTTGCAATGCAAATGGCGCAAGCCTTGTGTTCCCACGGGCCATGTGGGGCGGGGCAGCCTTGTGTTCCCACGCAGCCTGGATTAATTGCTTTGAGGGTGACATTTCTCTGCAGACCACCAACATTGTCTCACGGACCACCAACGGTCCCCAGCCCACTGATTGGCGACCACTATATATGAACATCCGCACGAGCACGTGGCTATTGTGAAATTATCACAGGCGCATCTCTTTGTCTCTCTGGAGGATTGGAGTTGTGCCGCAGTAGACAATCCTGAAATGGAGACCTTCGGAAGAAGGGGTGTCAAACTCACGATTTGAAAAAAACAGCAAAGGACCGGCTCGCGGTGCCTCTGCCAGTGAAAATGGAGCTCACAGAACTGGTTGTTACACCGATTGAATTGTACTACTGTCCCTCCCCCCGCTTTTAAAAACAATTGCCATTTAGTTGCTGGATAAATTAGGTCTCCAGAGATGTGTCTGTGTAGTTTTCGAACTGATGTCCCCCTCTCCTATGCACCAGGGTGGTTTTTATTGCACTCTTTTGGGGCAAGGAGGTCCCAAATCCCCTACTCTGGCTCGCCCTATCAGAGCCGTGAAGGTATCCGGTTCTGCTTGAGTTCCAGCTGTCTTTAGCGCCTTAGCCCGTCAGCCTGATTTAAATGCAGGAAGGTATTATGTTCAGCCTCCAGTTAGCGAAGGAATAGACAGACAGTAATAGAAAAGTCGGCTTTAATTTCATAGATTTATGGTTTGCTTTTCAGAAGGGAAAAACACGTAATCAAAATATGGGCTGTTTTAAAAACACAAATGATGAAACCAGTAAGTAACTGAGATAAGCTTAGCGGTAGGAGAAGGAAAAAAATGAACTCTGCGAGGGACAGAATTTTTTTCTCTATGGTCTCTGCAGCTTGAATGTTCAAGGAAAAGAGGGACCCTGTAAGATTTCTGGGGAAGGGGACTTCTTCCAGGGATGTGGGGCCATGACAGAAAAAAGACCTGTCTGAAGGAGGAAAGAGATGGCTAAGGGGCTCTGGACAGCTAATCAGCATAGATCAGGGGTTGGCAACCGGCAGCTCTGGAGCCGCATGTGGCTCTTACCCTTAGGCAAGAAAAACCAAAAGTGCACATATAGACTGCACATATAGCAATCAACCCATGGAACAGAAGTTGCCCTCGGAAGTTGTGGGAGCTTCATCACTTGAGACCTTCAAGAAGAGACTGGACTGTTATTTGTCAGAAATGGTGTAGAGTCTCCTGCTTGGGCAGTGGGGTTGGACTAGATGACCCACAAGGTCCCTTCCAACTCTTGTTAATCTGTTAAACCCGCTTGTTTCTTCCTGAACCCTCCCTTACTTTCCTGAACAGCCTGCCACTGCGATCCTGTGGGATCCGTGCGGGATGACTGCGAACAGATGACCGGCTTGTGTTCCTGTAAACCGGGGATTACTGGCACCAAATGCAAACAGTGTCCCAGCGGAAGCAAGCTGGGAATGTCCGGTTGTGAGAAAGGTAAAGTGGTAACACGTCGCATGCAGACAGCTTTGGGGGCGGCGGGGGTGGAAGTTTTGACGCTTCTCTGCTGGAGAGATCATTTATTCCTGAAGAAGGACCGATCTGGAAGCAAGTTTGCATTGAATGTCGTGCCTGATCCGCAGATCTCTCTGCCCCCTCGTCCTGCTCTGAAATGACCTGTGAATTTGGGGCGTCGTGTGTGGAAGTGAACGGCCTTCCCCAGTGTGAGTGTCCATCGTTGCTTTGCACGGAAGCTGACGCGTCCAAGGTGAGCAGAGACAGCATGCGTGAAGATGAGTGGGCAAACTCATAGTGTCTCCCAGTAGATCAGACCCTGTTGAATTCAATAACTTTTTTCTTTTAAATGTTTATCTATACATTTTTCTTCTTCTTTAAATGACATAAATACTTAATGGGCAGTTGTCTGGTTCCATCTGTTCATACAAAGTCTTAATAAACTGATAAGAGTAATATCGATAATTACATCCCTACTTAAAATATTAATAATTACTTCTTGATAATATGATTCTTACATCATTTACTTATACAATAAAGATAATGCTGATAGTGAAAATAATACTATTAATAATAACAACTGTAATATTGATGGTTGCTTATACGTAATACAACTTCTTGCAATCTTTTCTGATATATCGTGTTAATCTTTCATCTTCCAGTTCCCACCTCTTTGATCCAACCATTGATAAAGCATATCATCTATGTTAGGAAGCATTCTGTTTCTTCCTTATCTTTTATAATTAACGTTAACCTATCCATCTCTGCACAATCTAATGTTTTCATCTGCAGGTGTGCCTTCATTTTGCCAATGTTGTGCAAATTACAGTTCCCGCTGCTGTTAACACTTGTATTATTAAAGAAGCAGTCCCTTTATTATAGTTTTCTGGTATTATGCCTAACAAAACTATTTCTGGTTTTATATCTGTATTGAATTCAAGAACTTAAGAGGTGGGAAATCCCTTGCCCCCCCGCCCCAATCCCACCCAAGAATCTGTAATCAAACAAGTTAAGGGCACTGATTTGTCCAAATAGCATTCTGTCAGCCCTGCAAGGTAGTCCAGACAAGGAACACAATCAGTTTTCTCCCAGAATTCTCCAGGTTTGATTCTTCATCTTCTCCCTGCCTGACTACCATTATTTCTTCTCTTCCCACTCCCCAAATCCTCCCTTGTAGGTCTGTGGCTCTGATGGAGTGACCTATGGCGACCAGTGTCAGTTGAGAACCATTGCTTGCCGGCAAGGGAAGGTCATAGAGGTGAAACACTTGGGCCAGTGTGCAGGTGAGTCTCCACTGAACGCTTACGCCAAACCATTGCACCGAAATTGACAGCTGCCCCAGACGGCCACTTCTTTGAACCTTGGGGGATTGGGGTTGGTGCTCTCTGAGCTTGGTGGTTTCCTTGCAGACGTTTCACGACCCAACTAGGCAACATCATCAGTGCTAGAAGAGAGCAGGCTTTGCCAGACCCCACCCCCTCCTAACACTGATGATGTTACCAAGCTGGGCAATGAAACGT